TACGATGCTCTGAGTCATTTGATCCTGAGGACGTTTTGGGTGGCTTATCTAAAATATTAAATAGATGTTTAAGTTCGAGAAAAGCTACAGTTNTGATAGAAGCTATATCTTTTTTTCTTNTGCGCTAATTCTAATTAAAAGCGATTGTATTTAAGATAAGCGCTTTATATTGTTGGGTTGGGTAGTAGGGGATGTGTAATTATTTTGGAATAATCTGTATCAAAAAACTGGTATCTTATTCATTAATGATTATTTTGCTGTTACCCGCGCAAATGCTAAAATTTTTCTTACTTATTAAGAGGTAATGGTTAACAAAAATAGCGCATAATCTATTTGATGTAAACTGATGCTTTTAATACATGTTAGAAAGTTTAAAATTAATAGTAGCCTTCAATTATATTATTTTTCCAAGTCAATTGTTTAATAAAGCTATAGCAGAGTTTTAATTTAATTAGTGGAAATAGATAGCAGCTATAGCTCAATGTTAACGTATCAGTACAGTATACTGATGACAACTAGAAAGATCAGTCATATTTACTGCGTATATGATGCCATTTACACAAGTAACCAAGTAATTATGTTATAAGCATAGCAGAATTAAGAATCTTAAGTTCAACGCGATCTATTCGTCAATTTAGACTGCTGACGATTGCAAATACAACGAAATACTAAAATACTTCCTTAAAACTGATTTAAAATATTACAGTTGTTTCATAATCGTCAATTACAGGTTTCAGTCCCTACTACCACTATCTTTATTGATGAAATCAATCAATTTTTATACCTAAGAGATGCTGGTGAGTCAAATAAATAGAACAGTGTATATGCACGAATGAGAGTCCATGGCTACGGTATAACCCCAAAATTAAGTTCGATGTTAAGAAATGTTTAATTTTAATAGCGTAAGTAGAGTTGGTAGGACAGATTTATTTCAGTTTGCATGTATGGAATTGTCACAAAATGAGTTTTTGTGATGATTTGTAGATTACGTTTACGTTTAACTTTCACTAAGGTGATCTCTGCATTCGAATCGATTTGTATACTAATTATTACTGCTTTAGCATGTTATGATGTACCCGTATGAATTCATACCCATCTAAAGCGATTCTTATAACCAGCATATTTTTATAAGGCTGGCGCATCCTCCGAGTATTTCTAATTACTATCAGACGCCTGATAGTGTAATCTGCTTATTGCAGATTTATAACATAATTAGCACGCTATTAGCAGTTATACAATATGATCTATGTCCTACTCTTTGATTGAATATATTCTAGTTATTTTAAACGAACAATTTTATGTACTTGACCTTGATCTTTATTAGTGCTTAATGCTTTCTGACTTCCACTACCTATAGGGTTTTTTAAATTCAAGCAGTAATTGTACATATTTATCTTTCATTAATTAATTTCATTATACTGTAAATATTAGTTATCCTAGTGATCAACTCTACTGCTGTTTCGATACTAATCTTAATTTATGATGCAATAACTCTAATATTCATATTAGTATAGTAGTTAATTAACAATTTTCTACGAGATATTCTCTATCTTCTACGTCAAGTAAAAATATTAAACAATGACGATATTTACCAGGATCTTGGGTTATCTCATGATCGATGTTTATCTTTTCTGCAACTGCAGCTAAATTAGCCTTATAGAGAGCTTTAATTAGCTCTAACTTGTTGAAACTTTTCCCTTTCGTATTATGTTGTACATGTAACATCTCCGCACATTGGTCATCGACATCGAGAAGATTATTAGCTGTAATAGTTTTAATTCGGGTCTGATCAAAATCTAAGACTCTAGCTAAGTCTTTCCATTCTGCGCCAATATCTTTGATAATCAGGTTAAAATAGCGTTGTGCAGCTATCGTTATGTAAAAAGAGATATACATATTTTGATTATTTGCACTGCAGTGTTGAAGATAGTTTTAATGATTAGACATAAAGACGATAATGTATAAACGTTATATCAGCAAATATAGTTGTAAATTACGAGAAAGCAGCGCTTACGTAAATCTGAATTATTAACTTTTACTCGCTTAGTTTTGCCATTGTAAAGAGAAATTTCGAATGTTCTTGCAACGCTTGTAATAATTTAATAGACAATAATTATTAGATTTGCACAAAAAAGGTAAGAATTGATAGTACTTTAATACAAGATTAATGTAATTTCTGTAGTAGACATATCGGCAATGTCTTAATTTATATTACTTGAACTTTAATTCCTTAATAAACTAGGGCACTATTAACAACTATTGTCAAGTGTAGATTTTATCGTATACTTCTTTCACTTATATTCTGCTATTATGGATCGAATTCACTAAATTTTGCTTTAAAATTTTCAGAAATTAGTAAAGTCTATATTAATATGAAACAAAGTGGTATCTGGATAAAGATCACACCTCAATGATATAGAGATAGGGATTAAGGCATTTAATTAAGCAGTAAATCATCTACCTCGATCGTAGTTCCTGCATTTGCAGTCTAGATCACTTACAAATGTATTAAAGTTAGTAAATTAAACATATTTTTATTGTATTTCGATGATATCGAGACAGCAGGATAATATGTACGTAGATCGCTTTGCAGTTAATGATCTATCTGCACTGTAGGCCTATATCGAGTTTGATTGTTTAAAATTCATGATACTATGTGACATCGATATTCCCTACGATAGTAGGTAATAAGAAATTGAAGAAGTAGCTTATCAGCTGCTAATTTACGGTAACTTGAGTGAAATTCTTACAGATTAGATTATTATAATAGTATACAGCATAAATAAACGAAAGTAAGCGATAGTTGCTAGCTAGAAAACTTGTACAGTAGATACTCCTTTGTTGGTTACCTATCTTAATTTTATTTTATTTTATTATAGCAGAACATCGAATTACACGAATTTTATAGAATAGCAATAGCGTAGTATCTGTAAGATAATTAAAATGTTAAAAAGTGATTTAAAATTTGCCGATATTAGTACTTATTTGATCTATGTTCTGATGCACATTTACATAGATAACCGAAATAGTTTAATAAAGTTATCTAAGCAGGGCTCGTAGATGTTTATATATATATTAACTGTATGAATTAACTGATGACATTTCCAAAAAATTGAAGGTCTAAAGTTTAGCTCTAGAAGAGATTGTAGTCTGACAAATTTGATAAATACTAAGTTTGCCTGACTATTCAAGTGATCAGTAACCAGTCTAGTTTTCACTACTTTCAATAATCACAACTTATTGTTTTCATTAGTCCATTTATAGGTAATTTAATTTAAGATGATAATTTATATAAAGACTTTAACACCTTACTCTTAGCAATTACGTATATTGATTGCAAATAAGCCGATAGAGATGCTAATTAATGGAGTCGTACCAGCCATTTCATAACAAATTATCAAGTACAAAATAGAAATTGAAGATAAATGCTTCCTAAAATGTTTACTTACGTTTTATTCATTTCAAACAGCGGCTGAAGCTGACTTTATTAATAATAAAATGAGCAAATTCAATGTCCTTAACGTCGATCAATAAAGGATAAAAGCTGAGAAAGTTAATTCAAGATCAATGCCGCCACTTTGATGCACGTTGGAGGTTATCGAATGCCGAGCAGAATAAATGTGGTAGAGCGCTATTTAATTAATATAGCCACTACAGGTCAGGATCGATGTCTACTTACGGCCGTAGCATCCATTTTAAATACGCGTGCGTAATAATATTCATATGGCAGTTACGTCATCTTGTAATTATAATTAAAGCCGAGATTGTGGATTAATTGATTACAAGAAGTTCTAGACTCGAAACATCTCTAATATAGAAAGAATGGCCAATGTAGCACTATCTAGGTAATTAGAGCAATAAATATAAAATTTAAAACTAATAAGTTAATCAATCGATGTAATAATTACTTCGTTGATGATGAAAATGAATGCAAAATTTTACCTGCATTTTCCATGAAAGGGCTAAATCTATCTAGAAAAAGTATCTAATAATAAGATTAATTTCACTAAGTAGAGTAATATTGCTTTGTATCGTGCATTTAGAAGTCTTAAAATGATTGTTACTCGTATTCGTACTGTAAATTATAAGATATAAGTAAGTCGGCATCAATTAGTTAGCAGAGATGATTCTACTCGTAGTAATCTACACGTATGCAGCTCATTTCTGCTTTCTTGTTATGAAAATTTTATTAGCTTAACTATGGAGCTGATATATCGAATTGGTAACTCGGGCAGGAAGATCTCTTTGCTTGGCTTACAGAACACCGACAAATGTAGTGTAGAGTCATCATTGAATTCACTTTCAGTATATAAGTTGACCACTGACCGGTTACCATATTTCTCTCTTTTGTATCACGATTTGTAATTAAATTATATTACAAAATCGTATATCCTATGTTTAAGTAGTTTAATAAAGTAAAATGAGACTGTTTAATTAGCATTAGTCATAACAATTGGGGATGATGATATGAGTATAAACCATCTGACATTCGCTATCTACGACTTGTCTTCCAACTCCATCATTGCTGCCCATATCTTTTGCATATCGCGGCCATAAAGATAATCAAAATTTTTAATTTAATTATGTAAATAAAGCACTGACACTATGCC